AGGCACATGATAAATGCAGCTTCAGGTATTTAGAGTTTATGACTTTTAGGTATTTACTGCTTCCTTTATGGAATGGATTCTTCCCATGTCTTTTTCCAGCAGTCTGCGTCTTTTCAGTCACACTGCCTGCAAGTTTAACTTTCTTAGCCAATTAAGACTACTAAGTTGAAGAGTTTTCCACTGAAGTGAAGAAAAAATGGTCATGGAAACTACTGATCCTGCTCAAGGATGAGAACCTCACAGATGGAGAGTGGTGGGGAGGGTACAGAGAGATGTTGGTAGTGAAGTTACTCATTAGGGTTTGACACCAACTTTGGATTTGTGATGCATATAGACTGGCACAGATGTTTACCCTGATGCACACAGAGTTCTAGCCTGAGATGATCACCAGTGGTTAGACTTGTTAATGCTACGTCTCGCTCTGTATCTACTGAGGTATATGACAGACATTTTGGAGTTAGGAAGTGGAGTCGGTGAAAGTTGTGTACGAAGGTGCCTGTGTGCTGCTAAATTTTGCATGTGCAAGAGATTGTTTGTGTTTGTGCCTGCATGGCATTTTTTCATAGCACTGGAGCAGATGGCAGTTATACATGCCTGTGCTTTGCCTGGAAGATCTGTAAACAGTTTATCTCAGCAGCAATGCATTCTTTAACCCTGCAAAATGTTATGCATTAGTTATTCATTACTTATGCATTTACATTATCATTTCACAGCCGTAAACATACTTTTAACCACACCATGCACTGACGCATGTGTTAGTAACAATTTGTGAATGCAAGCTTGCAGGAGAGTTTTGGACCTCCAGCTGGCCTGTTGCAGGTATCTGAAGTGAATATCTCCCTTATTGACACTTGCTGAACTTTCCTACCCCTCGGATCTTAGGGAATGCACAAACTTGCCTTTATGTGGCTTCAAAACGGTATGTGTTCAGCTGCTTAGGCAGGTTGAGAAGGGTGGTAGCATGTGCATTTGGCAAGCTGAAATTTATATTATACTTTCTGCTAATGGGTCTTCAATGGCCGGGGAGGAGTGGGTGGAGTAAATCCAAAGACGACTTCAGCAAAAGCTACAGGACTCTTGAGGGTTTGTAGAAATGATATCGAGAGACGCATGAGACAGCAAGGTTTTGTCAGCTAGCAGACAATGTCATACTCAACTGTATTATGTGTACAAAGCCCTTTATGAAATTAAAGTGACTGCTTTTTGATCTAGTATTCCACAGCATATTGAGATCAGTGTCTTGAACCCGTTGCTTGTTCATCTAAAATATTGCCTCAGGATTAGAAAGTATGAATAAAGTTTGATAGGAAATAATAATTTTGCCAAGATCCCTTTGGGAGGTATTGGGATGTCAGGATGTTTGCAAGTGAATTGTGTAGCTATGCAGAGGATACCAGTGTGCAACAAATAAGCTATACCCACGGTTGTGCTTAATGACTATTATATGAAGTCGTCTTGGTCACTGATGTGCCTGCATGCTTTGAGGCATAGAAATGAGTTTGAAGTCCCCAAGCGCTTTCCTATTGGAAAACAATGTCTCAAGTTTTGTTGTACGACAGTAAACTCTCTTGTTTAAGTGCTGGACAAATGGTTTCCAGCACAATAAAAGACAAATGCCACAATAAATAAAACCCCAGGGAGATGCTACATATCTGTGTGTTGGAGTTTGCAATTGGGGTTAGTTACAGGCTACAAGTCATCCTTCAGTCCTGCACAGTCTCTATCTTATGCTTTTCATCCAGTACTTAGGTGAAAGTTGCTGTGGCTGGTTTCTACAGGTGTGCTAAATCAGGTTTATAACCTTGTTAAGGTTGGTGCTTGTTATGTTACTATTAAGAGCATACTGCCAAATCAGATTGGCATTTTTGAGATGCCACCTAAAAAATGTGTTTAGGGAGCTCTTGAGATAGTAAGAATTATTTTCCCCTTTCCCAGGGAGCTGCAGACTGAGGGAACCGTTTTCCTGTATGGTACTTCAGATACATGCAAACGGCTCTGTATTTAGAACAGTATCTAGGCTCTGAAGAGGGCTACTACAGCTCAGTGCAGAAAAGACACTTTCATGCACTACAAGCTTCTGATGTACAGTGCAACAGCAATCATCAAGAGACAGTGTTGTCTGATGAGCTGTAAATGCCTGGGAGGAAAAAGGGAAATGTACTTTTGTTTCAAAATACTGACCCATACATTTCTCCACTGAGTGTAGACAGCATGTCATATACAATGTTAGCCTTGCTCATTGTAGCTAAGTTCAGTGAAAATAAATTGCTGTCTCATTGGTATGAGCTTTTGCCTGATAAAACTTCTTAGGGAAAGAAGGGAATGAGCATCTTCCACAGGATGAGAAAGAAGCCTGTGGGTTTGGTGGATGCAAGAGTGATAGATACACACTGTCACCTTACTCATCAACATCTGACTCTATTGGCATAACCCCGTTTTACTGAAGACTTAGGAAGGATATGGGTGGGGAAGTTGAATATCAAGCTTTGGTCTGCTTTACTGCTAGACTATAAATAAAATTCTTCAAAGGTATTTGTATTATGCTGAAAAGTGCCAAAGGGTACTAGGGCAAAGACAAATGCAAACAGTTCATGGTTTTTGTTTTGTTTTTTTTAAAAAAGGAGCGGGGAGGCAGAGAACACCACTGTGTAAATGGATTCATCATTGCAGTTTTGTAAGCCTCTGTATCTGCCGGTGGGAGCAAATTGCTGTGACCATACCTGATGATGGTGGTCTCAGTCTCTGGTGTTCAAATTCTCTGTGACTTGTCTCAGGTCCTGAAAAGCCTATATGACTTTGTCCATCCTGCTGTGTAGTGTGGTTCATCTCCTTGTATTTGGGTGATTTTGCCTTCGGCCTCAGCTTTATTATTGTTGCTTTTTGCTTTTTCCTCGTGAACTTGAGAATTACTGCTTTAACTTCACATGATTCAAGTGTGTGCTTCCATGTCTAAATTTATTGAGATGATATTTTTAAGAATATCTTGCTATGATCTGAGCAGTACCCATCTCAAAGGACAAAGATCAGTGTGTTGGAATGGTGTAAACCTTCCTTGTGGAGATGGTACAGGAGTGCTTCACTTCAGACTTACTGTGATGCTCACAGGACTGAAGGACTGTTGTGAGGACTGCTTATCTATGGAAGAGCTTGTAGGGTGGTATTGGAGATGATGCAGGTAAGCCAAAGGGAAACAGTAAACGTGACTGTCATTATCTTCTGGTGATGAGGTCCTAACCTTAAGGGTATTAACTGGGTGGTAATGGAACTGTAAAGTGAACCTGCTATTAATGGCGAATGGCAACATCTGGGAGAAATTGACGGTGTCATTAAACAGATGAGAAGAGGAAGAAAAGCACCTCAGTCTGTGTTTAAAAGCCACTGGGTTGGACCTAGAGGAGTGGAGCAAGCAAACAATGAGAGTTAAGTGAAAAGAAATGACAGTCGTGATATCATTCCAAAATATCCAACAGGCCAGACTCTGGATCAGCTGATGTAATGGCAAATACTTTCAGACAACTTGGTTCTACAGTTTCATGATCCAGATGCTTAAGGGGGTTTAGCTCTACCGATGTGTAATGGCTGGTGTCTGTTATTTTGAACAGCTGTAATAGCCAATCTGCGTCACAAATGCTTTGTTATTATTCTTATCCTCTTACTTAAGTAGACATAATTTCTGTGGCATCAGTGGAAGAGAGTCTCAGCCTTGCAACTGTTGGAAGTTTTTCATAGTGATATAAGACTAAACAAAGAAGTTGTTAGCTGTTGGTTGGAAAGTTAAATGTAAACTGGTTTTGTAACAATAATACTTAAATTAAAAGGATATGCTGATTGAATGCTGTACCTTAGTACCTAAAAAAAATGTAACTGCAGTGTCAGTATGACCATTGCATACAATTGTGGTAAACATTTTATGCTTTTGATGGAATTTTTTTTTTTTATTGCTTTTCTTCCTTTAGAAAGGTATCCAAAGAGAGTTATGCTTAAAAAGGAAGTGTTTATTTTATTTTTCCCATGAAAGGATTTGTTTAATTTTTTTTTTTTTTTTGGTGGGAGGGAACACTTATAGGGTAATCCATGTCTAATTGCCTTTTGTAATATACATGAGAAAATCCAGATACTCTTCATATTGTTCTTATTCTTAATTATGGAAATATTAAGTCTCCTTTAAAAGCTTCCTGTCTTTGCTTTTGAGAAAGCTGGCGTACAAAGTAGCACTTTTATTGTTTATTACTGGAGTGTTATCTACTTCAAAATGTCAGATTAAGAGTTGATTACAAGTTGCAAAATACTTCATCAAATGTAATGTTGTCCATTTTATATGCTCAATGAAAGAAATAGAGAAACCGTAGTGTTTCAAAAGAATTTTTAAACTTCTTTTTTTTAAAAAAAGCAAGGCTTAAACTTGAATATTCAAGATAGTCCTTAGAAGAATTCTGATTCTTGATATTAAGATATTCAGTGAGGTAAAACCTCACGACTGGAATCATGTGCTCTTTTCCTTGAGAAATTCTGTTTCTTTGAGTGTGATCTGACAAGAAATCGTGGGAATATGTATACCTTAACGTTATTTTTTTTAAAAAATATATTATCTTAAGCTATTTGTTCATGTTTCCTGAATGAATTGTAAATGAAGGGTAGATGTTTCAAAGCTGCCTGAAACAGCTCGATTTTTATCTCTTAGAAGAAACTAATAGGAGACAATGTAGGTAATTTGGAATCTTTTTGTGTATGAAGAAATAATTTAGGAAGCCTTATATCAAATCCCACCCCCACTTCTTGTTCTCGGACTGAAAACTCTTCTTTCTCAGCCTCAAGTCACATTGGCTGTAATCTTAAGTGTTTTAATTGCACTGATGTAGATTACAATAGATGCCAAATTGCTTGAGGAGAAACAAATAGCTGTTAAGCTACTTGCTGGTTCTTTGCATTCTATTTGCATAGGGAAAACAGTGCTTGTAGAAATGATGTTTGATTGTGTTGGTTTTTTTTTTATTTGGCAGGCAGAGTTGCGAGCAGCTGTTTTTTTGGCATTAGAAGAACAAGAGAAAGTAGAGGTAAGAGAACCTTACAACATTTTATAAAAAAAATCAGCATTCTAATAGTTCTTCGTGTAGAATTAAATAAAATAGCTTTAATGCTTTCTATTTGTGAAATGTAACAAGACAAAATCATGTATTACTGCATGAGAGCATGATACTTAGAGAACACAAAACAGGACTATCAGGGTATTTGATGTTTAGAAATAGGAATTGTTACATAGCCTTTTGAAACTGTAGCTTTAACTATCTCTGCTGGTTTTATATTGCTTCTGTCCAACTGACTAGAATAACTAAATGTCTTCTCCATCAAATACTACTTTGAAAAAAAATCTAGTTGATTGAGCAAGACTTTATCAAATTGGAATAACGTCTTTTGAAATGTGAAATATTATCGTGGGATTTTTTGGCAAGTGTGTTGTGCAAGCAGTTTAATGCAGTAATTTACCAAGTATGCAAATGCTTTTGGTGTTTCTCATAAGGATTTTGTAGGCTTACTTCAGGATAATTTGCTTATATTTGAGGAAGAATTCTGAATTAAGAGATGGACTATGTACTGATACCTTGATAATATAATAATATTAAGGATATGTGATGCTAACATGATTAAGTAACAATACTTCTGGTAGTATGCAGAAGCTAGTTTTGTGACCCCTTCTGCTGCTGGCATTGCCTTGTTTCCTGTGTCTTTCCGTTTTCTAGAACTAGAGAGGAGATGATGCTGTTGTCCAGGCTCTTTTTCAAAAGAGGAATGGAAAACTGTCCTATTCCTCTCTTGGTTAGATGGTTGCGCTCTTTCTGGAAAATTGCACAACTGAAACAGGCTTTATTGTGACATTGGTAAGGAGAGAAAGTAGTTATTCTGTGGTATGAGATTCCATATTCCAGAAATCTAATATAAGATTGCTGAAGAAGACTTAATGGAAGAGTGATATAACAGAACAGTGCCACCTCTTATGGGAAGCTTCAGCATATTGTAGAGTACCCAGAGAACAACCTCCCAGACTATCTAGAGAGTAGTAGGGCTGAAGGGAGATTTGCTGCAGTTGATCCTGTCTCATGCTTTTTTCAAAAGACTTAAATGTGTCATCATATTTTAATTTTACACTTTAGAGACACTGAAAAGATACTTGCCACTACTCTGAATTCCTAAATATCGGGCAAGATCTATTTCTTTTTTCACACAGTGCTTTCTTGTGTGTGTTAGTTTTTACGACTAGTGATAAATACCTGTAACAGATCCTTTACTTAGAGTTAGGTACTTAACCAGGATATTTTCATATGTAAGGAATGGTGTTTAGAGTTTGGTTTGAAAAATCCTTGGACAATTTTGACAAACCCAAACACAGCACATTGAATTATCTTGGTTTAAAAATCAAAGTTGGAGAGGGCAAATCTAACAGAGGAGAAAAACAAATTTCATAATATCTTTGAAGATCTTTTAATTAATAGAAGATTAGTATTGATTTGTGAACCACTGATTTGTGCAGTCCACACTTTGTCTGGATGATTGGTAAATTCCTGTTTTTTAAAAAGTGGGACTGAATTTCCTTAAACAAACTTGGCACTACCTTAGAGGAGCAATTTGGGAAGTTAACTGCTTAACTTACCTTTTTAAGTAAATAGAAAGCAGTATGCTATTAAGAATTTTGGTGGAATTACTCTAGCTCTGTAGCTTTTGTAGTAGAAATGCTGAGACAGTTCTAATTTGCCTAAGTAAACGTATGGCTCTGTAGCTTTTACTTGCAGGTAGTAGAATTAGTACAAAGATAAATTTTGAAGAAGTGAATTACATGTGCCAGGCATCGTTGTGGAACAGTGTACACCAAAAGGCCAACTTGCTGTGGTTTTCTATTTCTTGCTAACACAAGGATGATGTTAATTACTGTTTGTTTGTTTTTATTTTTGACAGAACAAAACACCTCTGGTAAATGAAAGCTTGAAAAGTTTTTTAGGTACAAAAGATGGTAAGTTGTTTGTTTAATATACTTTTCAAAATATTAAAAATAGGGAACAAATGATTAAATCTTTGAATCTTTTATTAACAGAACAGTCTTCATGACATAAAGGATGCTTTGTTCCTGTCAAATGTCATAATTACTGTTCATTCACAGTAGAATTCAGTCTATAATTTTTGAAGTTAATATTGTTGAAGTTATATTTTTAACTGAGGTGACCAATGCATATAAATTAATATTTCATGATGAGCTATGGTTGTGCTAAGTCAGAGCCGTTCTAGACCAACAAAAACAGCAACCAGTGAAAAATCACTGTAGAGGTACAGTAGTGACTGCACACATAGGAGAAGTGCCAAAATGAAGTCTTTAAAACAGCTAAATAGTTTAAAAAAATAATCTTACACCTGATTTTGTAAGCAGTCTCTGTGCTCCTGCAGTATAGCTGACTTAAATAATTTTGGTGCAATGGCTGAGTTAGAAATTAGAGAATTGATATACAAATTAGATAGGTGGTGGTAGTTTGCTGAATGCCTAAATGATGTTTGTAGGAGTGTAGAATCAATGTAGATGTTCATACTGAAGCCATGTTAACGTTAAATCTTAGAAGTAAAAATTGTTTCCATCTGTATTTTTACTCGTCTCATTTCCTTTTTAGGTCGCTTGGTAGCAGGTCTTGTTGCAGAATTTCTACGTTTTTTCAATCTTGATTTTACTTTGGCTGTTTTTCAGCCTGAATCAAGCACAGTAAGATACACTGTTTTTATTTGTATGCTATGATGATTGTTTGCAGTGCGTGGCAATGAATACAAAAGATTTAAGCTGCTTGCTTGTGTTTATTCAAAATAATTTTTTGTGTTTAGTCAATAAAAGGTACTTATTGCCATAGACACACATATCCCAGGGAAGTGCGTTAGTATAAGTGAATATTTCCTTTATCAAAATCCAATGCTTGATAACATGTTACTTTTGAATTAAAAATTAATATTTTTTGTGAAATCATATAACAGTATGTATAACAGAATACTCCTGCAACACTTTTTGCCAGTAACTTTGCTATGTCATTATATTAAGTTTGCGTTGTTACATGAAAATTAAAGTAATGTCAGTAATCTGCTCTGAAAGAAAGCTTTCTGCTTCTGCTATAATGTGAAGTTCAGGTTCAAAAAGTGTATTTTTCTTTTTTTTTTCTTGTTTTTTTTTTTTTTTTTTTTTTTGTTACTTTCATTCCTTTTTCTGTCCAAACTCATGTTTTTTCCAAGTGAAACAGAGACTGAAAGTAAGTATTGGCCTATCTTGGTGTACTTCCAAACACACAGGAATAGGAACTCTCCATCATTTTTGAATTTGCTGAAACCACTGGCTAGGTGTCCTAGGATCCACTTTTAAATGTGATAGGCTAAAGTAATTTGACTGTATAGATCCTGAAACGTGCTAATCATTAACAATTGCTTATTTAAAATGACTTTGGGTGGTCTGTGATAAGTTCAAGTACAGCTCAGAAGTAAATGATGCCTTAGGCTGTCATTGCTTTTGTCCACATGCAACAGGAAGTCTTAAATAATCATGTTTAGTCAAAATATTGCTATTTTAAATAAGACCAAAACGCTTTAGGAGTTATATTACAAAATATATATTGTGTTTTCTGATAGTTATTTCTGTGTTGTGATTTTATTTTATTTTTTAATCTCCCCCCCCCCCCAGCTAAATGGCCTTGACGGTCGAGAAAACTTAGCTCGAGATTTGGGAATTGAAGAAGCAGAAGGTACTGTGGGTGGTCCTCTGTTGTTGGAGGTTGTTAGAAAATGCCAGCAGAAAAAGATTTCAGGCAATGGAGAAGTAAGTAGTGTTAACATATAATTCCTTTCTTTCTTCATAATTCTTTATTCATTTTCATTTCAATTATGAAAAATAAACTGAAACGAAGAACATTTGGCTACAGTTGTAGTATTATAATGTTTCAAGTCTTTATTATAGTTAGTATAATAGGAAATGCCTTCAACATCACTTATCAGAAAACAATGCTGAAAAGTTAAAGATTATGACTGTTCTATTACTTTTAATGCCACCCTAGTACTCTTTATTAATATTCTGCTACAACATAGTAACACAGAGTGAACCCAGATAAATGACACAAAACACTGTGTCACTTATTCTCTAATTTCTAGTATAGTTTGATAACACTTCTAACTGTACCTATTTTCTTTGGCATACTTTTAATTTCAGTATGACCTGAAAAGCCTAGAATTGGTTTTGTTAAAAGCTTTAAAGCTGTTCTGAAAACGTGTATTTAAATATAAGAAAATATGAAACGACATAAAGGCAACGACAGTAATATTTTAATGGAATGTATAATTAAGTTGTTAATTAAATGGATAAAATCCAGCCAATAGCATTCTGTTACAGTCCCATTCAGTACCTCAACAAAAATTTGAATTCAGAAGTAGTTGTCATAGACTTCCTAACATAGCATCACAGTGTCACAGTTTGCGTGCTGTGTTGGTGAGGATGGTAGCCTTGTTTCTTGTTGGATAGTATTATGACACAATTGAGTTTATTTTTAGTAAGTGTTTATGTGAAACTTCTTAGGTAGCTCCAGTTCTAAGTGATAGCCTGTGCCCCACCTCAAAATCATCTGATGGAAGATCGAGTACACACTCTATACCAAATAAGGTAAGATTGTTTATATATAATGAAAAAGCTACATAACATACATGAGATAAGTAAAAGAGAACTCCTATGAAACTGCATATATGATGACATTGACTTAAATGATCTGCAAAGTCTATACCTTTCTGACTGGATAGGTGACAGCACATACACAGAGTCTCTGTGAGACTGACAGGCAGGAGCTCACTTGTCTGTTTATCAGGCAGCTGACTGATTGCTGCTTGGGATTGATACGGTGTTAGGATACAACTGCCTTTGCATTGGTGCCTGTGACTTTTTCGCTGTTGCTTCCCGTTAGCACAAAATCTGTAGTAACTAATGTCTTCCAGGCCTCTGATACTTCTTTACATTTGACTGGAACTGATCAATAGGTTGAGAACTAGGGGAAAGTGTGAGGCACAGAATGAGGCATGATCACTTAAGCCTCTTTTCCACAAGAAATCAGCTACCCACTGCACCCAGTGAAAAATAAAACCACAAAAAAACTAAAGCAAAAACCCTCTGATTCAAGCACTAAAGTTGGTTTAAATTATTGATGTAATCTGATCACATAAAAAGTTAAATATCAGTGTTACTAATACTGTTGCTTCATATGTGAGCCCTTACTTTTGTCTCAGAGTGGTTCTAGATTAGCTAAGAAGAACTACTGATAATGATTTAGAAGTCAGAAATATTCCATTCTGCCTTGCATGGACCACCTTTCATCTTCAGGTTTAAATTACTTTGTTTGAAATAAGTAGGTCAGAAAGAGAAGAGCTAAGTGTTTGTTGTATGGCTTTTCCTCAGAATACTTGTGTAAAGGAGGGGAAAAAAGTACTTTCAGTAGCTTGTAAATTGAACCAGGTTTCATGTGGTTTTTTTTTGTTGGGTGTGTATGCAGATGTCTCAAGGCTGGTCCAACCTCTGTCAGGCATGAAACTTATTGATTTATGTCTGTTCTTGACAGAGATTTTTGCAGTGAAATTATGGTTGGCTTGTTGAATATATATTTAAAAAAAAACAACTTCTGCTCTTGTTTCAGTGGCTGAACTTAACCAGCCAGTCCAAATAGATTAGTTAGGGCAAGAGAGAGAGAGAGAGACACAAGCACGGTGGAGTGTAGTATCTTAAGACTTGTTTCATTAGGAAACTAGATTGATAAGAATGATATTTAAGTTATCCATGGAAACTCTGCTTTAGATAATGTATCATGGAGTCAAAACAGTCATTCCTATTGAAGATTATAACAAGAATAAATGACAGCCTTAGTTCTTTTATCACAATTGTTTGGGCGTATACAAAACAGGAACTCTTATATCCAACTCAAATAGTGCTCTCCAAACTGGGTAGAAAAAAAATATAAATCACTTCTGAATGATTTCCAAAGATTAGTGCTGTTTTGCAGAAGTGATACTGTATTGTAGTTTGTTGCGTTATTCTCTGTGTTGAGATTGTCAGGATTCTTTTTCAGGCTGCTATCTGCTATCAACTATTTAGATATACTAGTCCGTAGAGGCAAAAGCTTCTCCAGTTGAGTGACTTCAGCTTAATGATAGTGATTGTGACTGGTCCAGTCAATAGCAGCATTTTTTAATGTGTAGATACTTAATCCCCAATAGATATATGGCCACAAGAAAGTGATTCTAAGGTTTATTCTAAGGTCTACGTTTTAGAGAAACAACCAGATATGAGTATTTAATTCTGAGCAAGTATTAAAGTGTAGTAAAAGATCATTCATTGAACCATGTTTTCTTTTTCTAAGGAGAGTTTTGTGCATTATCAGAACATCACAGTTAAGAGTTCAATGCTTATGGTATGCAGCAGCAGCCAAGGTGGTGATAACATTTTCATTTACATGCTCATTCTGATGTGATGAAGCTGCAAGTAGAACATAATTTACAACAAGTTGGAATTCTTTATACTCATCTTCTGTGGCAAACAAATCGTAATTCCATTGCAGTGGGAGATAGATGAACGTATTCTGGAAATACTTTTCATGACATATTGCTGAATCCTTCATGAACGTATATTTATCTCGGGAACAGGAGAAAATTTATTTCTGTATGGATTCTTCATAGAAACAGCAACCGCTGGTGGTTGGACTACAGAGTCCTCTAAGAATAAGTAGTGGATATCCTAATGGGACTGCAGTTCCTAGATACATTTATTTCCTGGTTCTCCCTCTCCTTGGCAAAGGCATGATGGGAGAATATTCTGCCCGTGCAATGTATTTGGTAAAAATAACGCAGAAGGAAGAAGTTTTAGCCGGTGTTGGTTGGAGCAAGGTGGAAGTTACCTGAACAGTCTAAACTTCCTGATCAAAACTTGAGATTCTCTGGTGTTTTTTCAGCAAACCCGTGAGCTGAACTGGCTCTGACTGTGACTTGGCAACAAACAAATGTAACGTAGAAGTGAGTGTGCTAAGAGAGACCAAGACTAGAGCTCTTGGTAGCAGCAAAAAATTACGTTTAAGTGCAGGTGTGAAACCACACTCTTAACTATCAACACCATTAGTCAGAAACCTAAAGTATGTTGCTCTTTGAACCCTTAGCCATGGTTAACCTATCACTACAATTTGAAAATAGTGATTTCACTTCAGCAAAACTTTATTATATGAATTCAAACAAAGGCCAACTGTTGTGCTTCTAGTTTCTCAGACAAGATAGCAGCAGCTCATTACCTGAGTGAGGGCCCAGAACAGAAAAGTAGCTGTAATTTCTCTTTTACTCCAGTCCGTGTGTCACTAAGCTCTTAATTTTCAACAGCAATTCTGTTCCTCTAGGATAGGAAATTAAAATACTACTGTTAGTACCCCTTACAGGTGTAAGTACTTTTTCTTGCCCTAGAAGAACTGAGCTGATGCCAGCAATTGAATATGGTACTGTGACTGAAATAAAATTACCTTGGTAGGCCTTTTTCAGCTTTCATGACCTACAGTTTGACAATTTTGCTTCAGCCTTTTGAATTAAAGTTAATGACTGATAAAGAAACACTTGGGGCAGTGCAACCTACACGTCGGTTATCTGGATTAAACAATACTGTTGACTTTGTTTCAAAACTGTTGCTGTTCTTTGTATGCAGGAAGGTAGATAGTGAAATGAATTATCTTTTCACTGGCTTAATTTAAGTCTAGGGGAAGACAAAAATTGCACTACTACTTGCTAGGTAGCAAGATGATATCGTTTAACAATAAAAGTCCATTTTTTCACAACAGCTTCATGGTCTAGGTAAATTTGAATATTCTTCATTGGGCCACGAAGTTTGCAAAGATATGACTTGAGCTGTATTAATGAGTCTAAAAGTAAGCATGTAAAATAGTCCTTACAAGCTTGAGTATCTGTAGGACTGGTCATAAGCATGATACAAAGACTGAAAGATATGTACTTTTAAAATATCTTGTTTCTGTCATTTTTGGTTTTATGATACAGAGGGAGAAAGTGTCATTGTCTGCAGTTGTCTTACGCTTGCTGCTTTAAAACCTAATATTATACTGCAGAGGATACTCTTTAATATGGAAGTTAGGGTAATTTGCATGGGTTTAAACTGATTTCTTTTGAAGACGATAGCTGTAACTAACAACATTTGTTTATAGAGAAGTTGCAGAATAACACTGTAAAGCATGGTGTAACTTTCAGGCTGAAAAACAAACCAACCCGCCTATATTCAAATCTAGGAGGTAAGGATCAGTCTGTATGTAGATTTCTTTATTCAATGACCAACAGCTCTTACAATTGATTGCTTTTATAATAGTGTCCTGGTTATAGCTCAGCCAGCAGCTAAGCTACCACGCTGCAGCTTGTTCACTCCTCACCCTCAGTGGGGTGGAGAGGATTAAGAAAAAAAAAAAAAAGTAACAAAAGGCTTGAGGATTGAAATGAGAACAGGGAGGGATCACCCACCAATTATGGCCCCAGGCAAAACAGACTGGCTTGGGGACAAATCAGTTTAATTTGTTATCAGTTACTTCAGAGAGGATAAGGAGAAACAAAGCCACATCTTAAAAACACCTTCCCCCACCCCTCCCTTCTTCCCTGACTCTACCTGTTCTCCCAGTGGCACAGGGGGATCAGAAATGGAGATTGCAGGTCAGTTCATCACATACTGATTCTGCCACTCCTTCCTTGAGGGGAAGGACTCTTTATGCTCTTCCCCTGCTCCATCATGGGATCTCTCCTCAAGACAGACAGTTCTCCATGAGCTTCTCCAATGTGAGTCCTTCCCACAGGATGCAATCTTTACCTATCAGATTGCTCCAGTTCTGGCTTTTCCTGTGGAGTCATGGCTTCATAGGGTGCAGCCACCCGCTCCGGCATGGAGTCCCTTCCCACAAACTGCAGATGCATCTCTGCTCCACCGTCAGTCTCCAGCAGCATGGAGTCCTTCCCCACAGAGACAGTGCTCTACGAACTCCCTTGGGTGCAGGCATCTCTGCTTCAGTGTGGGACCCTTTCCCACAGGCTGCAGGCGGATCTCTGCTCCACTGTTAATCTCCACAGGCTGCAGGGGAATCTCAGCTCTGGCATACCTCCTTCCACTTACATCTTCACTGACCTGGAGTCTGCATAGCCATTTCTCTCAGGTCTCGGTCCTCTCTCCGCTGCAGCTGCACTGGGCCCGACGAACCTCGGCAGTCCCGGCAGGATGAACTCTGCCCGGTGAGCGCCCTGGGAACGAGGCGCTTCAGAGCGTTCCAAGCCACACTGTCACAGCCATCTCCAGTCGAGTGGCAGTGGCCCAGTGCGGGCAGCCACCCACCCAGGAGGCTGGGGAGGCCAGCCCTTTTCCTTCGGGTCTGACCTGGCCAGAGACAGGTACAACTGGAAGTTTCTAGCAGCTCCTTGTAGGGGCTGTCCCTGCAGCCCCTCCCCTGCTACCAAAACCTCACCACATAAACTAGCATAAATAGAGGTTATCTAGACAGTAAAGCAATGGAGAGGAGGGAACAAAATTTTTTAATGGCAGCAACAATAAGGAACACTTTCTTTCTAAAGTGATAAAACAACAATTTTTCTCTTGTATGACTCCTGAAGATACTAACAAATTCCTGAGAAGTACTAATAGATTTGATGTAACTTTTTAAAAAGTGATAGTAGGTATATATTAGATGTCGTGTATTTATATTACCACTTACAGTATTATTAGACAGTTCATACAGATTTTCTCCAAGAGAAATTACTTATTCCTTTCAGTAAGGGATTTTTTCTTTATCTTTCAAGGCTGCTGAAACCAGTCAAAGTGATACGAGTGTCTCATCAGGGGAAGCAAGCAAAAGAAGCATTCATTTTATGCCTAATGAAACAAAACTAGATCCTCAACTAGAAAACAAAGACTTAAATACCAAAGAAAAAAGTGATCCAGGTGTGGATGAAGATGATGTAGAGGGAGATTCTTTTTTTGATGATCCTATACCCAAACCAGAAAGAACTTATGGCTGGTAAGTAACACAGATGCTCTGTTTAATAAAAGTTTCTTTTGTCCTCAGCATGCTTGCAGTCCTTCGAGAGCTAACTGGTGTTTGATTATTCACACTTTTTAAATGTAAATGTTGAGATCTCTTCTGGAATGTTTTGTTTCCAAAATGTGCATTTCTATGATTGTATTCTATGAAATACATAGTGTCATCTGGAATCTCTTGGATGTACCATGAGTGGAAAAACCTGTATCACTTTAAAGTGCATCAGTTAGACTATATAGTGTCCCCAGCCTATTTCTTTGGTGCAATGAACATGTATGAGACACAGACAGTGTTTCTTGCAGCAGAGCTGCAGTGGTGATCAGTACTAAAGGAAGTGGATAATGACAGGGATAGTGCTTTAGGTATCTGTATGGCTTTGTAAGGAGTACAAAAATGTGTAAATGGTGAATGTATAAACTGTAAGTGTAAGGAAAGCTTTGTCACAGCTAAGAGTTCCTGTTCACATTGCAGCACCTCTTGTGTCAGTTCTGTTTTCAGGAAAGTGTTGTTTCTGCATATGCCAATTTTGCAGATGCTTCTGAAAGGCATACTTTGTGGAGCCTGTTGACTGAAAAATACCATTTGAAACAAGAACTAGTGGCTGAACTATGCAACAGCTTTGTTACAAAACTGAAAAACCTATCTTTGTGTTATCACCTTGAGTTATCTTGAAGCTTAGTTTAGATATCTCGAGAAATGCTGCAAGATTGTTTCATGGTGTTCTTTTGCTGTGCTTTAGTAATCAGAGAATTGCTCTAGCTTAGAGTTTACCAAAAGAGTTTGCAGAAGCATTTGCAAGTCAGTTTGACAGTAGCTTCCCTCATGTTGACTTTTTCCCCCAGCTATGTTGATAGTGGGCAGAACAGTATAAACTTTTTTGTGCTATCACTATAGTGGATGCTTACTCTTGGAATGAGATCGTTCTGGTACAGCACACAGCAATCACACCAGGTAAACTAGATCTCTTTCTAGTAAATTAATAGACTTTGAGAAATATTATTTATAATACGGCTTTAGTGGGATGTATATAAAGAGCGGATTTTTTTTTTTTTTCCTTGAAGAGCCTTGATTTTTCTCTGAAAAATACTGTGTGTTACAAATAACATTATGGTATTTCTTTTCTTTTTTGTTTATTGACAGTATCAAGATTAAAACTGTGTCTGAGTCACTTACTAGTCCTTACTCAAGAGCTCATTTAACTAACCTTTAATGAAAGTCTAACCATTGTAGCAGGTGGTTATGTTGCCATGAAACAGGTTTAAATGATAAGTTGGGAAAAGTAGAAACAGCTGGAAAAACTTCTGGATAATAATATTTGCTAATTTCTTATTGTTCGAGCATTTTCATATGACAAGAAGGAAAATGCACTTTGAAACTGGGTAAACTAGATTTCTTTTAAAAGACTATCCAAGGAAGAGACTATTAATTATTCAGTAAAGTAAGGATTTTCTCCTAGTAGAGAAACTCTCTACAGAAAGAATGATTTCCAAATTATATATGTCTGTAGTAGAGTCACGGTCCATCAAGTACTACTTTATAGCTCATAATGCAGTTGTGATGTAGATACTATAGTAATGATCCATAAGATTTGCTGAATATGTTAATAATAAATGAGCTAGCAACTGATTGCAACCAAGCTGCCTCTGCTGAGTCTTTTGCTTCTACACTCCTGGCAGCTCCTCTAGAGGAGAAAAAAGAATATGTTCTTCAGGTGAAACACCTTTGTGTGGTGTGTTGTGCTGGTGTATCTGAGTCCCAAGGGATGAATACGTGGGAGAGGTGCCAGCATTGCTTGGTTTGCAAAAAGGTAAATTCCTTGTGGGAGCTTTCCCCATTCCTCTAAGAAGGATGCACTAGAGAGGAAGGGAGCAAGCAGTTACTAAGGACAGAAGAAGAAATGATCCAAACTCTCATTGTCCCTAGGTCTCTGACCTGTTGCTCAAAATTTTTGAGGTGTTTTAGTACGTGATGGTATACATGATATTTTGGCGATACAGACACAATGAATGATTCAAATGTTGTCTGGTACTAACAGGAATGGAATCACAGTAACAAACAGTTCTGGTAATACTAAATGTGAAAATCTCCATTTCTTTTTAATAGTGTTTCTTCATCCTTTACTTGCAAGTAGTATTTGAATTCAACACTTTAAATATATGAATGGAATACGTAGTAGCCAAGTGAACTTTTAACGTGTGGTGACGAGATCTATCTTGATATAACTGACTTTTCATTCTGTGAACTGACTGCTTTAAAGATTAATAGTTTCATCAGACGTAATCTCTTTTAGTTGTAGAACAAACGAATTTAAGTATTGATTTCTATCTGAAACCTTCTTCTTTTGGCTGCGTTTACATGTGGGGATAATGAAAGGCCCCTTGATAAAAATAGTGATGCAGATGAAGGCGCAGGAGCTCTGTCTGTGAAAGAGGGCAGGCAGAAGTCTTTGCGTAGGTGAGAAAGTGGCTTTCTTACTGAATGTCTTGCTTGACACTTGTGTCAGTAAACTGCCTACTGTTTTTAAGACAGCAAAATGAATAGTCCTTTCCCCTTGCTCTTTTTGCTGTAAAAATTGCCATTCTAGTTTAATGACAATTTAGTAAATCATAGAAAAGAAAGTCACATGTTTTACAGCTCTGTGGACTACTTATTTATTTGGTTTGTTTTAGGAAAACTGAAGCTAATAAAGCAGGAGGTCTAGCATCTCTTTCTGATGCACCGCCTCTAAAAAGTGGGTTAAGCTCCCTGACCGGTGCACCTTCGCTAAAGGAAGCTGATAGTAAGTTTTCATGTGCTTTTGTGTTTTGATGAATGTGGAGGTATTTCCCATAATATAATGAGTGATCTACACGTTCAGATGCAAATGTGATGACGTAGCCTGTATGTGACCCTTTCTGGTCACAACATGCTTCGTAGTTAACGCTTTTTTCACTGACTGATCACGTACTGGTTTTGATGTGTTATGCTACCATTGGGGCATCTTATGTTCTAGAGCATGAAATACTTAACTACACTCCTTTTTTTGTGAGTATAAAGCAGTTTTCAGGAGTATACAATTCTGCTGCTCAGTTTTTAACCAAAATAACTTGTTTTATTGTTATTTTACATTATTTGCACAGGTTCTTTAGGGATATTTGCTTTCATGTTGTAAAACCTGATCCTGGATACTAGAAGATTGTCCTTGTTTGCTACTCATGGTTTTAAACGTTAACAGAGTTCAGGCTTGAAAGTTTGATATAGTATTACCATAATATACTATAAAATGGTATATGGTTATTGTACTTGAGTTGAGGCAATCCTTAGTATCAATACCGACTGGGGGATGAAGGGATAGAGAGCAGCTCTGCAGAGAAGGATTTGGGGGAACTGGTAGATGAAAAGCTGAACACGAGCTGGCAATGTCCACTTGCAGCCCAGAAAGCCAACCGTATCCTTGGACACTTCTCCTATGCAGACAGGCTGAGAGAGTTGGGGTTGTTCAGCCTGGAGAAGAGAAGGCTCCAGGGACACCTTCTAGCAGCCTTCCAGTACCTAAAGGGGGCCTGCAAGAAAGCTGGAGAGAGACTTTCTACAAGGGCATGTAGTGCTAGGACAAGAAGTAATGGCTTTAAACTGAAAGAGGGGAGATTTCGATTGATATGAGTGAAAACTTCCTCCCTCTGAGAGTGGTGAGGCACTGGAACAGGTTGTCCAGAGAAGTTGTGGATGCCCCATCCCTGGAGGTGTTGAAGGCCAGGTTGGATGAGGTTGGATTGAGCAACCTGATCTAGTGGAAGGTGTCCCTGCTTACTGCAGGGGGATTGGACTAGATGACCTTTAAAGGTCCCTTCCAACCCAAACTATTCTGTGGTTCTATGAAAGAAACACTAGTTATAAACAGTTGATGGGATATGTTTAAGTAGGACCTTATTAGAGTAAAATTTCTTACATAAATGCTTTTGGTTTTTTACAGATTTGAATAGAAACTCTGTTTTGAAGGACCTGCGGTTGGTGAATGCAAAACTGGGATCACTAGAATTAGGCAAGTAACTGCTAAACATGAGTAAGCTCTGATATTTTTAACTGTTAAGTTCTGGCCCAGCTTCTTGGAGGAATCTGAGAAACTGAAATACTTTACTAAACTAAAATCTTCAGCTTTTACTTCTGTTACTCTGTTTAACACCATTGTGAAACTGACTAGAGTTAAGAGCAAGATCTAATCTGAAGGAATACAGAGAAGTGAAAACTGGTGTCTTGTGTGTGGATTAATATTTTACACATGCAGCAAAAATTAGATCAATTCCATGCATATGTTTGCTGATATCAAGTGATATTTTTTTTGTCTAGGTTTCAAAGAAAGGAGGAGGTTTATTTGCAGAAAAAGATAGCCAGACAAGTCTTAACTTTTTTCAGTGGCATATTTACTTGCCCTCCACATCTTTGAAAGTTGCCTTGTCAGCTTTAGGAGCAATATGAAGATGATGCAGTATAAGAACTATCAACTCACTCTCAAAATAGAGCTGCCAAGTATTTAACTTTTGTCTTCAGCGATGTAGTCAACATTGCTGAAAATGTGTGTTCAGTTTCAAAACAGTCCGTGTAAATGAGATTAAGATTAATTAACAATGAACGTAAACTCGGATTCTCTTCCTAATCTGCACAAGTAATTTAATCTACTCTTACTTTTGCTGGCCATCAAACTATGTATTTTTTGGTGCAGGAATAGATTATTTTTTGCCTTTCTTGAACAGAAAACTTGTTTGATTAATGCCTTTTGAAAATTATTTAGGAAATGGAGATGACGATGAGTACGCTGATGACTTCAACAGGTAAGAGAAGGATGATATTGCAGTAGCGTAGTATTTAATGCATTGTAAGGGTGTCCCCTGGCGTATTTGAATTATTTCATAATATTTTAGCTATTCACTATTGCTAGAGTCTGTCACTATCTCTGAATTCCTTTCAACTTCAGTTTGCTGTTTTAATACATATAGTTACAAATGTTAAAAAACAAATCCCTTTTGTGTATGGGTTAATGACTGCCTTAAAAATCTGGTGCTAACTTTAAGATGATGATAAATTCTTGCTTTTTTGAGGAAGGGTTGGTTTATTTTTTTTCCTGAACCATGAACTTAGCAGTGATTTAACAGTTTAGTTAATACTATTAGACAATGAATATGGTGTATGCTGAAATATTCAACTAAAAAATAAATAATCATGAGTAGTCAGTAATAAATATTTAACAGCCTTATTGTTACGATTGTCGTGAAGGCATTGGTGTTGTAAACTGCAGGATTGAGGCCTAAGTATTTATCATGGCTTCATCTAGATAGAAAGCCTTCAGTTGTTATGGGTTTTTAAGTAACTTCATATTTAACTTGCTAGGAAGTGAAATACAAATCAAATGTCAGGTGGAAAGTGAATGTAATACTTGAATGTTTGAAAATAAAACTTTCTTTCTACATTTATGGTTTTTCTCCTTAGTACTAGTCATCGCTCTGAAAAAAGTGATATCAGTATTGGTGAAGAAATAGATGAAATTTCTGTGGAAACAGAGGAGTCGATTGCCAGTGATAAAGTATGATTCTTTTAAAATTGTTGTTCTTGACATTCTTCTGATCTTGTCATGACTCTTTTCTTAACCTTTCATGAAGAAATGTGCCATTACGATAGTTCCTAGGATACATGTTGTATAAAGTTGTATTATATGTTATGTTCTGTATTTTTTATATCTAGTATTCCTGCCAGGTTAGATACTATACTGCTTAAAAAACAAAACAAAAAACCCCACAACAGTTGTTTGGTAGCAAAATTCACAGTCTGTTTCTAGGCATGTAAAATGTATTTGAGCCTGGTTTAGTATCTAGCATATGATTTTCTATATCCTATATCTTAGGATGTATCTAAGGATATATCTATATAGGATATATCTTATTCCTATATCTCAAGTTCTGTCTGAGCACCTCCTATAAAGGAGTTGAAATCTCACTGAAAGAGCTTGAGGCCAAAAGGATGGGATGCTATATAAAGGACTACCAGAAATAATACTGTTTCTGTGATTTCTGAGTTTGTAATTTCATTTATTTTCTAGCTGGAAGGCATCACGCAAGACCTTACCATTTCTCAGTTAAGTGATGTTGCAGACTATCTAGAAGACGTGGCATAGAATTGGACAGCAAAAATGTTTCGTTGTGCTGGACTAGAAGACTGCTGTGGACTGTTAATTTCAGACAATCACTTCTTGCTGGAATGTCCACTCCCTATTTGTGCCTTGTGTATCAAAAAGACTGTAGATGGAGAAGGCTTTTGAATATTCTTAACAAGAACTAAATGGAATAGTGCGTTCCCATTTGAGTCTGATATCAGAATTATTTTCTTCATTTGGTTCAGCCAAACCTTGTACAGCAGGAGGTGGATTTCCCAAGTAGAATGTCCATTGCAGGCAGTGGGCACGATAAAAAACACTCAATAAGAGAACATCTACAGAGAGGTATGTGGCTTTATAATGAACTTGCACTGTTATTGTAACAGTCTGAATTTTTTTTTTTTTAAAGATAACCAAAGCAAGAACCTTCAGAGGTAGTGGTTTAACTCAGCTTCTTTTAACACAGTTTTGTCAAGCACGTAGTACATATTTATGGTAATGCTTGCCACAGTACCTGATTGCTCCAGACTTACTTGAAACTGCTGTTTTTCAGACTCTTCTGAAAGTTGGACTTTTTTTTTTTTAAAGGCATATCAAGTTGAGAGTATCCAAACTCTCAAATCTAAATACAGCTAAATTTAGGAGCTAAATTTAGCACTAGTCTTAACTCTGAATATTCTTGTTTAAATATGTTTGTCAGACCATTGATGTTAAGACCTAAGCTGTTTTTTATATATGATAATTTCATTGATGTTACCTGTTGTTAAATCACAAAAAGTAATTTGTAGTGATCCACAAATCACTAACTAAATCTTATTGTTTTTTGTTAAGTTTTTATGTGTGGTAATGGTTTGTGGAGTTTTTATTATTGAGGGCTCTTCACGTGCTGTAAAGCTCACTTTCGTTCTTGAAAACCCTTGTTACGTAAAAACGAGCGCCAAAAGTGAAACCACTAACCTTCTGTTTTTCAGATTCTGACTGCTGTACAGAATTAAATCCAAATATTTAAAAATACCATACCGAAGACATTATGGACACTAAGTTCTAGCTAAAGAGCAAATTCTTGTATTTTCATTATACTCATGCAAAACAGGGTCAGTAATGGAAACATTGACAGTTCTCTATCGATGCTGTTGTACCTGGCGCTGCTATAATATATAGGTCATGGACATTTGTAATACTGAAACAAGACTTCAAAATGTGCACTTTCTGAACGTCGTAAACACATTTGGAAAATATATATGTAAGTGAATATAAATATTTTTTTTGAGGCTTTGTAATTTTTTTTTCAGGAACACTGTTGGCCTCTCGGCAATGGTCACCACAGTGGAAGTATCGTGCTATACTAAAGCCATTGGTTAAGCATATAGAACTGCTATTGGATGCTGACTTAAATCTCTTTTTGCACTGGGCCAGCAGGCATGGAGCAGTGCTGGGAAGTTAGGCTTGTACAGTACACAAATGATTTGAGAGGAGAGATGAAAAGTGTGCCTTTTATTTATGTGCACCCCAAAATAGCCAGCAAAAAAGCATCAGATTATTTAGTCATGGTGTTAACTTCTTTGTGCCATATTTTAGCAACTGAACACAGAGGAGAATTTTTTTCACCCCAAAAAAATCAATGTGCCATAGACTTCAAATAGCAAAAATGTTGTAACATACAATACATCCTGTGTAAAAATTCCTTTTAGTAGGGGGGGGAACCTGTGCCTCAATATACTATGTATGAAAAGTTTGGGTTGGGCTTTTTTTATCTTCTTTTTAGGAAGAGCAACAGCATGTCTGAAGGAAATAAAATTCCACTTGAATACCTGGGAACAATTGATTTCTGGCATTCACTTTTAAGGTGCATAGAATAATGTAGAGACAGTGTTGTTTGCTTTTTACATGTCTTGGGAAAACATGATATTCTGTTACCTGTTAGCTGTAGGATATGTGGCAATTTATCATACCAAAAGAAGCAAAAACTTTATTAAATTATTTCTAATTGCATTTGAAGATGTGGCCTTTAAAATGACTAATTAGGTATTTTAAGAGTTAACATGACTTTTGTTAACAGCAGAGTGTTGTTCTCTTACCTTGGGGGTTGATTGGAGACCTTTCGCTTTGGCTCTAATCTAAGGAAATGCTGTTCCACCTGTGGGTTTTATCGAATTGTGTATAGTAATTCAAATTGCAAAATAAAGCTATTGTGCTGGCTAAATTGTATTTTTGAGACTTCTTGAATCACAAATCTTGATATTTAGGAAATTCAGGAAGCCTAGTGGGTTTTGGGAGGTTTTCTTGAAAAAGTTTTTCTCAGAGTTAGCCCATTCTGCAATTGGGAATATGTTCATGCCCAGGTTTCTTCTAAGCCCGAAGGATTTTGCAAATCCTGATGATGAATCCTAAAGTCTGATTAAGACCAGACTGAATAGGGTTACTGGGTATCAGTCTGAGTTGTCTGATGGTTTATGAATCAACAGACAAAGGCAGGGGGGAATCCAATATTGCCTGGTAAAATTTTGTCTTGTTTACCATCGTTAGAGTTACTTAAAGTTTAAGACTGGTAAGCTGAGCTCCCTTGAATGCTTGTCTTGCTGTACGTTTCGAACTGTGTTGCTAGGAAACTTCCTAGCCCGGTAAGGCCCTCGAATTATTACCTGTTACTGCTCCTCCATGTGGGTAGCAATGGAACTGCAATACGTAGTCCAAGGGTGATCAAAAGAGACTTCAGGGTCTTGGGATGATTGGTGAGGGAATCTGGACAACAGGTTATTTTTTCCTCTCTTCTTCCAGCAGCAACACTGGAAGAAACAGACGTGCCCAGTCTATTAATACATGGCCTACAAGAAAGCTTGAGAGGGAACTTTTACAAGGACATGCAGTGATAAGACAAGGGGTAATGGCTTTAAACTGAGGGAGGATAGATTTCGATTAGATCTAAGGAAGAAATTCTTCCCTCTGAGGGTGGCGAGGCACTGGAACAGGTTGCCCAGAGAAGTTGTGGATGCCCCATCCCTGGAAGTGTTGAAGGCCAGGTTGGATGAGGCTTTGAGCAACCTGATCTAGTGGAAGGTATCCCTGCTTGCTGCAGTGGGGTTGGACTAGATGACCTTTAAAGGTCCCTTCCAACCCAAACCATTCTATGAGTCTGTAATATTGTTTGGTAATTTACATTAGGCTCCTCCCTAAAGGGCATAACGCAGTTGAATACCCAACATCATTTGTCTGTCAGAATTTACAACTAGAGCCCTGTCTTAGAAGATGGGAATGTTCCTGTCTAAGTGTTCTACTGTATTAGTTCTGCCTTTTCCCAGACGCCTCTGTGAACAGAGAAGTGTCTGAGGCAAACACTTAAGACTGGTCTGTGCAGTTCTGTACCAGCTAGGTCTGGTTAGAAACATGCTTTTTTGTTAAAAACTCAGACTCTGTAATTTGTTTAACAAATCCTGTGATTTCCAGAAGTGACTAATTAAGGACTAAGGTAGGACTGATAGTTCCATACCATTAATATGGCTGTAGTAACAAGGATGGATTCTAAAAACTATACCCCGCTCACTATTTCATGTAGTTAAGTTAAGGTATTCCGCTCTTTTTTTCCTTTCTTTTCTTTTTTTTTTTTTTTTTTTTTTAGGCATAGTGAGAAACCACAGCAAACCTGATCAAATATTTCCTCCTAAGTGATGTTTTCTCCAATCACAATAAACCCACCCGGAGCTCTAGACTGTTTTGACAATGTCCTGGTTTTAGCTGGGACAGAGTTAGCTCGTCTTTTTAGCAGCTAGAAGAGCTCCGTGTTTTGGTTTTACTCAGAGGCTCGCTCTGAGAAGAATGCTGATAGCAAGTTGATGTTTGTGGTTGGATGTGAAACTCCAAGGACTTTTCAGTGTGCTGGAGTGCAGAAGCACGGTGGGATAAGGGGGGAGCATAGCCGGGCCAAGGGGGCCACGATTCCCCTTGTGATTTGTGGTGGAACTTAAGATTGAGGGCCAAACTGGCCAATTAGTATTCCATGTCATGCAGCGTCATGCCCAGTATAAAAGTGAGGGTCAGCTGGAAAGAAGGGCTTTTGCGCTTTGGCTCTTTTACTGCTTCTGCTCTTTTGCACTTGCTCTTGCTGCACTTTTGCTCTATTGCCTTTTTTTTCTCTCTCTCCCAGTACTCCCACTCTCGGAGTACGCTCTCTCTCTGCCCCTCTCTATTTCGGGGCCTTGCGTTTGTCTGGGATTGCAGCTTCGGGACGAGACGGGCTTCGCATACGAGGGGGTGGTGAGCATCTACACTGTGTATTAAATCATCTGTATTAAATTGTTCTTATCTCAACCCACAGGTTTCCCGTTTCTCCTTTAATTCTCTCCCTCATCCCTGGGGCTGGGGGAGGGTGAGTGAGCGGCTGTGTGGGGTTCAGTTGCTGGAGCGGCCTAACCCACGACAGACAATATAGTCCTAATTTAGACAATATATCTAGCTTTTAGGACAACTTCAAACACTTCTGTACCTGACAGGATGATTGGGTGGTGATGATGATAGGGGAGGAGTTTACTTCTTTGTTTGCTTTTTAGTAGTTTTCTGTGATGGAATACTTTGTAGAAAGCCTAGTCCTCTCTTCAGGAAAGAATGCATCTGTGGATAAAAGCGAACAAACTTATAGTTTTAGCATTGTCTAGTGCATTGGGTTTATGTGGTGAAGTTTTGGTAGTGGGAGGAGGACTGCAGGGATAGGCGCTGTAAGGAGATGCAAGAAGCTTCCTCAGACCTCTGGCCAGGGCCAAGCTGACCAGCACCTCTGCAAATGTCATATTTAGGAAGGGGAAAAAGGAACCTGAGAGAGTGGGGAGGAAGAGTGGGGGGCTGGCCTCTCTCTACCCTGGCCTCCTGGGTGAGTGGCTGCCCGCACTGGGCCACTGCCCCTTGACTGGAGACGGCTGTGACAGTGTGGCTTGGAACACTCTGAAGCGCCTCGTTCCCAGGGCGCTCACCGGGCAGAGTTCATCCTGCCAGGACTGCCGAGGTTCATTGGGCCCAGTGCAGCTGCAGCGGAGAGAAGACCGAGACCTGAGAGAAACGGCTATGCAGACGGTGGAGCAGAATTCCACCCACAGCCTGTGGGAGAGGGTCCCACACTGGAGCAGAGATGCCTGCACCCAAGGGAGTTCGTAGAGCACTGTCTCTGTGGGGAAGGACTCCATGCTGCTGGAGACTGATGGTGGAGCAGAGATGCATCTGCAGTTTGTGGGAAGGGACTCCATGCTGGAGCAGGTGGCTGCGCCCTAAGAAGCCATGACTCCACAGGAAAAGCCAGAACTGGAGCAATCTGATGGGTAAGGATTGCATCCTATGGGAAGGACTGACATTGGAGAAGCCCGTGGAGAACTGTCTGTCTTGAGGAGAGATCCCATGAGGGAAGAGCATAAGGAGTCCTCCCCCTTAAGGAAGGAGCAGCAGAAACAGTATGTGATGAACTGACCTGCAATCT